TTTTTTTCAGACTTCCTTAATGTTTTGGGGGGGAAAGTTGCACCTTTAATGGAGCCATCACTTCAAGATGGCTCTATGATTTTTTTTTCAGACTTCCTTAATGTTTTGGGGGGGAAAGTTGCACCTTTAATGGAGCCATCACTTCAAGATGGCTCTATGATTTTTTTTTCAGACTTCCTTAATGTTTTGGGGGGGAAAGTTGCACCTTTAATGGAGCCATCACTTCAAGAAGCATATCTTTTGTGAAGTTTGTGCCCTTAAGGAATAATGGCTGCGGTGTTTCCATGATATTTGTAGCACTTCTTTCAAATCACATTTCACACAAGTGCAGCCTCATTAAGGATTTTGAAAAAAAAAATCATTTTATGTCAGAGATTTGGATTGGGCAGAGATAATGAAGCTTATAGCACCATTACAGAAGAAATTAAACTTTATTGCTTGCTATCTTTGGAATATAGGATTGGCTCAAATCATGTATACTAAAAGGGAATGCTTGATTATTTTTTTAAAAGATAAATGGTGTGGAAATACCTCTAGTAGATCAGGAACTATCTGTCAGGCCTTGAAGCCATCTTTTACATTGGGCCTTCAGGCCTGCCACATTTTTTTGCTGTGGAAAAATGGGAGGGGGGATTATATGGAGTAGGGGAGAGATATAATCTAAATAACATTCCTTTCTCAGAGAGTCAAGGACATCTTGCCCTGCATCTGTAGTGGCGTGACTGGGAGGCATCTCTGGTTGGGACAGTGCCTGATTGGACCATGTAATGGACATGTGGGTGCTGGGCAGGGTCTTGACTTTCACTTGGTTGGTCTTGGTTTCACTTGGTTCACTTTCAGATTCAGGTTTTCCCAGCCAATATGACTTCTCTAATAAAATGGAACTTTGAAAAACTTCAAGCCTCGGAGACTTCTTTCATTGAGGGTGTTATTTGGAACCCTGACACTATCTTCATTTTCAGGGGAAAAGATGACAGAAAACAGCATGTTCAAAAATTAAAATTGCTCTTTATTTGTCATGCAGACTTGCGTAGAATCAAGCATTACAATTCATAAAATAACAGCAGCAGAAACAATCACCTTTTCCATTATTGCTTTCACATTGAAGAAAGGAAGAAAAGAAGTGACGAAGAGAGAAAGAATGAGAATGAGTACTCATCTGTGGAAACATACCGGTAAACACCCTGTGTGGAAACATAACATTGCAGAACATTGCAAGAGAACAGATCATTTGTGTCTCAAAGCTAATTTACTTCGGAAGAGTGCATGGTTAAAATAGTTTGTAGCTTCATATAGACTCCATCTGAAAACCCAAAGAATATGCTCAAAAAGGAGAAAAGATCAGAAATGTTGTTTGGAATGAGACAAGCCCATGAAGTTTGCTAGTCTAGAAACCCTCATTAATCTTTTTTTAAATATCAGAGCTAACACATTGTATCAAAAAAACAAAAAAGGTGTTCACAATTACTGGTTTTCTGCATGTCCCCCCCCCCCCTTATTTTGCACATACCCAGGAGTACAATAGCTGGCAAACTGGAATGTCTCTTGCACAAAATAAAAGACACTGATGTAGGTGAATAAGGCTGGGTTGCAGAAACCGGTTTTGTTAGAGAAATGTTTGGCACAAGATTTACACCCATTGGATTTCTGATATTCATTGAATGGCTGATGCCGCAATTGGAGAAGTAACGTTGGAATGGGATACCGCAGACCTTCTTTTTGTATACCTGCTCACAACCCTCTCTCTGATCTACATAGAGACTCTCTTGATCTGAGGCCCTTCTTGAAACAATTCCACAAACGGTTCGCTTAATGGGGTTGCATTTCCTTCTGTGAACCAACTGTGGCCTCCCTGCTAAAGCTGTGCCAGGTGGAGAAACTTGTGTTTCAGCCATGACAGGTCAAGTTCCAACAGAGGAACAGATCGAGTGTATTGGATGTGGATGCAGATATCCAGGCTAATGTTAGAGCTAGGCCTTGATGGAAAAGGTGAAAGTGTCAGAGAGGAAAAGCGCATTTTTTTTTGGTTTTGTTTTCCCTTGCCATTATTTACACGACAGGCATGATGTGCATGGTGAAGCGAATTGTCATTCAGGAGGAGGAGGAGGAGGAGAGGACTCAACTTTAGTAGGCAGATTTCCTGCTTGTACTGGTTTTTGATACAATTTTTACACTGGAACCTCCTCCTCCACCACCTGAGGAATGGCGACCTCCTCCACTACTGTACATGCTCCCACCTCCGCTGCCGAACCCTGAACCATAACCGGCTCCTCCATAGTTGCTGCCACCGCTAATGCCGTAGCCACTGCCGCCACCGCCACCGCCACCGACTCCAACTCCGTATCCTCCTCCGAACCCTCCAGCACTTCCTGCGCCGAAACCTCCTCCCACGGACAGGCCACTTCCACCACTATATCCAGTGGTAGTGGTGTTGCTGACTACAGCTGGAAAACAGGGGAGAAGGAAAATTAATTTGTTTCCATGACTTCCATAGAGAAAACGCATGCCAAGGCCCCTTTAATAATTAAAACAAGCATGCATGCACAAATGTATAAATAGGGATGATACTTACAATAGCTGACATTTCCAACGCCTTCTTGCAGTCTAAAAAGCAATGGAATAATTGGAGTTAATGCTTCAACTATAGCAATAGCAATAGCAGTAGACTTATATACCGCTTCATAGGGCTTTCAGCCCTCTCTAAGCGGTTTACAGAGAGTCAGNATCTTGCAAAATGTGAATTGTGGGTTTTGAAATGCAAAACTACATGAATAATGGAACAGATCTCCAAAGAGTTCTGACTCCTGGTCTAGAATTTGGGACACATGGGACAGATTAACCCTGTAACCCTTCATTTACAGATTGCATTGCATCCAGTGTTCTACTTCTGTAGTAACTTTCATACTCCTTGTGCACCTTTCTTATTTGTTTGTTTGTTTGTTTGTTTGAAATTTTTTTTATGGCCACCCATCTTAAGATGGGTTGTGGGTTGCAAATATTTTTGCTACCTGTTTTGGCGCATGCACAGAAGCATCCGGGCAGATAGGCAGGGCCTCCCGCCACTGCTACTACTGGTTCGCCCAAACCAGGCCAAACTGGGAGCAACCCACCACTGAACTCTCGGCATTCTTACAGAAATAATAAACGTGCAAACCATAAAATCATAAACACAAAACTAAAACCAAAATTAAGGTGGGAGGGTGAAGCTTGGCATCTTAGTCATCTCCTCAGCATCATCTATAGACCGCTATACCACAAAGCCTGCATGAACAGTCAAGTCTTGATGACTTCCTGAAAAGCTAAAAGAGTGCGAAGGAACCAATTTGGTATAATGATTAATGCCCTCAGGTTAGAAACCAGGAGACTGTGAGTTCTAGTTTCACCTTAGGCACAAAACCAGCTGGGCACCTTGGGCCAGTCTCTCTCTCTCTCTCTTTCTTAGTCCTGGGAAGCCTAGGTAGCAGACAAGGGCAAACCACTTCCAAAATCTTGCCGAGGAAAGTAGAGAGACTTCTTCAGACAGCCACCAGGAGTCAAACTCACTTAAAGATACCTTAAAAGAGTGCATTTGTGTGATGGAGGTCTTCTGGATCAGGGGTCCCCCAACATTTTGGACCTCAGGGACCACTAAATTCATAATTTTAAATCCCATGGACTACTAATATGATATGCCTAATGACCAGCTGGGTAGGCGTGGCTAGGTGATCATGTGACTGGGCGTGGCCAACTCAATGTCACTCATGTTGAGGGGCGCCTCGCCAGCCTCTACTCACCCCTCCCCTCCCAGCCAATCCTGCCTGCTTGCCTGGGCTCCTTAGGGCCCCAACAGGAAGCATTTGTTGGAGCTAAGCAGTCACCATAAGAAAGAGTTGTCAAAACAGCTCAGTTCTAATTGGATCTTACTGAGAAGGAGGCTCATTGGAAGCACCTCACTGAGGACTATGAGCATAGGCTTTCCAAGCAGAGGAAAGACCTGCAGGAGCGCAAGGCCAGGTACCGGTGCCTGGAGGCACAGCGGGCTGAGATGGTCAACCAGTTCCAGGACATGATGCAGTCTCACTGAAACAAGGTCCTCCGGCTCTTCGCCACCAGCAGCACTTCCCTCCAGCCTTGCTCAAAGCCCCGCACCAGGAGGCTGCAGCAGACCCCAAGTTGGAATTTCTGCCCCCCCTCCAACCCACACAAAAAAACCCAGAAGGGAAAAACTCTCTGCAGCAATACAAATGTTCATTGCAGGTATCCGTCCCAGGGGCCATAGTTGGAGGACCCCTGATTTAGTACAATATAAAAAATGCAAATAATTTTTCTTGTGGATCACCAGTGGTCCACAGACAAGCAGTTGGTGACCGCTGTTCTGGATTACTGGGGAAGGGTGTTCCCCAACACCCTTCCCCAGTCAACTGTGGAAAAGGTACCTTCCTAGGTCCCAATAGGTGGCCAATTTTCAAAGAAAGGACCTGGAGCATACCCAGCCTATCTAATCTGCCTCAGAGAGAGGCAGTCCCATAAATAACATCTGTTCTTCTCTACCAGCCAGCTTGGTGCAAGGGATGGAGGAAGTCTTCAAAGT